TACATGGTGTCCCTCGGAAGATCGTGTCGGACCGTGGTCCCCAGTTCGCCGCCCGCGTAATGCACGAACTCTACGGCAAGCTCGGCATTGAACATGCACTCACCACCGCGTACCACCCTCAGTCTAACGGACAGACCGAGCGAACGAACCAGGAAGTTGAGCAGCACTTGCGCCTGTTCGTACGCAAACGGCAAGACGACTGGGTACGCTATCTGCCAACGGCCGAGTTCGCGCTGAACAGCCGAATCCACTCTGCGCACAACCACACACCCTTCGAGGTCATGTACGGGTACAAGCCAGACTTTACGGTACCAGTGGGAACAGAGACTCGCTTCCCTCATCTCGAGGATCGTCTAGAGGGCATGCGCCAAGCACAGAAGGACATTGAATCAGTGCTGCGCGCAGGCAAGGCGAAGATGAAGGTCCACTTTGCAGAGGAACACCCTCGTGATCGGAAGGCGTTCGAAGTCGGAGACAAGGTCTGGCTTAGCGCAAAAGACATCAGTGTGCACCAGGCAACGCGCAAGCTTGGTGTCCGGCAGCTGGGACCCTACAAGGTGGTCGAACGCGTGGGTGACCTAGCCTATCGTCTCGAACTCCCACCCACACTCAAGATCCACCCGGTCGTACATGTGGATCGGCTGTCCAAGTATGGAGGGAATGAGGTGAACGGGCGATGAGCACCACCGCCAGAGCCAGTGGAAGTGGACGGAGAGAAGGAGTACGAGGTGGAGAGGATTCTGGACAGTCGGTTCTTCAACCGCCGGCTTCAGTTCCAGGTGCGGTGGAAGGGATACGGAGAGGGGGACGACTCGTGGGAACCAGCGGCGAATGTCGCCAATGCCCCAGAGAAGGTCGCAGAGTTCTACGAGCGCAATCCCAACGCGCCTCGCAAGATATCTGCGACTCTATTCGCCGCTCTGCCATGGAGGAGGGTCGAGCACCCTGAGCATGCAGAAACGGAGAAGGAAGACTGGCAGGAGGGGAGGATCATGTCCATCCGGGACGGATGGGTTTTAGGAGGGGGGTAATGTCGTGGAACGGACTCTGGACTCACCCTATGTATTATTTTTCGCCATTTTTCTGCCTTTTCTCTGCCTGTTACTATATTGGAAGGTTGTTCCCGCGCTTAAGCGCCCGTATCGCGGACTCTCTTAGCACTTGCACTTCGTGTCCTAGCCCTCATCTCGACCTCTTGGTCTTTGTGGGCTAGGTGAGTATCTCAATTGCCTGTATGTATGTAGAGCTATGTTAACTTGGTCTTTGTGGGCTAGACATCCCTCGCGTGACTCTAGTTTGCGTTTGCTTTGCGCCTAGTGCCGGCGACACCTCTGCACCACCACATCGAGGTCATCCAACCTCTATCCATACCCATCCACACCTCCCTCTCCTCCGATTGGCGTTCGCGGTCTGCTCCCGCGTCACTCACCATGGAGACCTGGATGATGTTGTCCTCAATCTTGCGCAGTTGAGGAGCACAGACTTGCTGCTTGGTATTCGAGGCCGTTTTGCTGTTAACTGAACAGAGAATAGTCGACTCGCTCTGTGAGACGGACATTCTGCCAACTACAGTGTCAAATCCAGTCACCAAACCGGCCCCCAAGAAGCGAAAACGAAAGGCTACTCAGTGGTCAAGTTCAAATACAACCTTGGAGGGATCTGGCACACCAATGACCCCAAGTGGCTCTCAGATGATAGCCACACTACAGAGCCCCACTGCGCCGCACACTACGGCACCGTGGGAGTCTGCTGCACCACATACTGGTGCACAGCAGTCCGCTCCACGGCGCACTGTGCAACAGTCTGCTGCTGTGGGGCTTCGCTCACACCAACACGAAGAAAAACCCTAGGTAGAAGAAGAGGTGAAGAGGGATGAAAAATAGAGAACCTGCGACACCACACTTGGGGCGACAGAATTGAGGGCGATGTCGGTGAAGTAGCGAAGTAGTGAAATTCGGTCACCCCATTTAATTTCCCTAGATAACCCCACTCCCTAGATATGACGACCACTAAATATGTACCACTCGTTCTCTGAATCATGCATACTCACCACTACTCACTCGGTCCTCATCATGACTCCCCTGTATTACCTAGTCACGATGCCTCACTGCGACTGGGACTGCGTCATATGGACTGATAGTGACTCGTAGATAATATGACTCCCCACTCTCTTCCCAGTATATAAGGGCAACACCCCAGAGCGCTCCCTCCCCAGACTTGAATCTCCTCTGTACTACTACGTCTACCTGACTATGCGCAATCTTACTTTTTGTCGCTCGCACACTCGCTCGATAGCACACAAGCACTCTGAGCATCGCCACCATAACCACAAGGCGCCTAGGTCGTATTCCAGCTGGAATAAGCCCTCAGATATAACAGTCACTGAGCTGGCTGAACTTGTCGCAGCGAACTTTGGTAGGTCATAGAGGAAGAGACGCAGAAGAAACGGGATTTGGCGAAGAAGAGGACTGTGCGGGCAAATGGGGGCTTGGTGTCTGGGAGTGGACTCCAGGAGGATTGCTTGCTTTCCTAACTACAACAGGGACTGACTATGAGAGCGCAGAACGCCACGCCGACAACATCCGCAAACACCCCAAACTGAGGCCACACAACTGATAGGCCTACACACAGACCCGATCGGCAAATCGCTCACTGAAGTTCACCTGCGTCACCCACCAAAATGTCACCGAACTTCTTCGCAAAGGTCCACTGACCACATACGTGCATGGCTCCTTATCATTGCCTCGATTGCGGCCACCTTGATGATAAAACGCGAAATTCGGTAGTAGACGAGCAGCAGCCCCCACACCGCACTGCAAGCCATGTAGGACTCTGCCATGCCAAACTTCACCACACGATGATCTGCTGCACCACACACCGTGCAGGAGACTGCTGCACAGTGTACCACACAGGAGTTTGTCACCTGGCCGCCACCTCCACTCATGCTGACCATACCCTCAGCCATCCGCTCAAATGACCTCAGAAGACAACTGACCTACACAGGATACTCCCATCCAGAGACCCTCTTGCATCCTATTCCGACACACCAATCTTCATCCATGGAGACAGACAACATTGTATATGGGGCCGTATCAGGCTGGATAAATCGGGGATCTAGTAGTTTGTCTCTGTCAGCAGGAACCTCAATCCCTTAACCACACCACTACACTCACCCTGCAACCCAGGCTTGGGCATCACTGGGCCTGTGGCCAGCTCCTGGAGATTCACATCACCCACCACCGGGTTGGGGCTCAACAGGTGGTCAGGTAACCAAAGCTGGACACTGGGAATGAACATCGGACCCAATCAAGTCCAACAACAAACTCACCATCCATGGGATGGGGTCGGAGGAGACAAGCATTCTGGTAGGCAGGAGTTAGAACAGTCACTCCCTCCTGCAGGATGCGCATGGGAGACCTCTGAGGTGAGACGTTTCCCAGGATGATGAGCCAAGATGACCAGATGTGGTCTGTGGGAGGACTGCCGCTGCTCTACCGTGACGTGGCCTCTAGCTCTCTCACCATCCCTCTCACCATGTCATCTATCAACTCCATGATGTCTCCCCTCCCTTGTATGTGTTTGTGTACTTTGTCCCACTTGGCCACGCCACATCTGACCAGTTTCTGCCCCAACAGATACTAGAGAACAACCATTCAAGGTGCACACGCTCACCAGCACTGTTGCAGATAGGTGCAAGCCTCCCATCGCTGGTCCTGTGCGCTGCCTTACAGCTTTGCCATCGCGGAAGGCTTGTGGTGCTCCAAGCCACTCGCAGGCCCTGATCCCCAAAAATGTCGAGCCACACTCACCATGGTATCTAGAAGCTCGCCCTACCCCTCTCCTGCCCCACGACGTTGCTCTCGACTGTGCGGGGTGTGACCTTGGTTAACCCACACAGTGTGTTGTTCGTCTGTTAATCAGAGTTCGTGCTCTAATAGACCGCCCCCCACACCCTGTTGCTATGCAGAACTGGGCTCGTCCAAACCACTGCTAGAGCGCAAGTCAAGCATGAAGTTTCTCTCGACGCACAACCTCAATGTCACGATGATGCCCATCCGGCCCCATCCGGCCCCATCATGCATGCTTGCATGCAGCGATAGGATTTGGGCTGCTACCACGCCCACGGAGCCTGCTTATGCCCCTGCCAACACCCCACCTCCACTGTAAAGATGGTGGGCTCAACGTTGCCTGCACCTTCGTCAACGAAGCCATGCGCACTGGCAGCGCTATCAACTTTCTCACGCACCTCCTCGCTGTTGCCCCTACACCCCGCTACTATTTTGTCTGCGTCAAGCTTAGGCAGAGTATCACCTGCAACCCTGCCTGCACTGTGGTCCTTCCTGCACTTGACACTGTGCTTCACATCCGCTGGGCCATGGCGCTCTTTCATCCACCAGGTCTGCCACACCATGGTGTTCCCTGCCATGCAGCACATCTTCTTCAACCACATCAGCCTCACGAAGACATTCCAGCCCTCATCAATGTGGCTGAACTCGCAAGCACCAAGTCTGTTAGGCGCCTAGGCAGGACTTCGTTACCACTGTGTCCGATGACACACCGCATGCGCTCACCAAGCCTCCACTTCACGCCGACGTGTGGCGCCACCTTCCTGCACAAGATTGGGCTGCATCTCGTTCATCTGGGATTCTGCAGGGGCTGCACTCGCTCATCCCGATTTCAGGTGCCTGTGCAGCACTTCGTACCACATGCTCAACGGTGCGCCGGCATTTGCCAAGCCTCCCCTTCACACTGACTATGACAACATACTGCTGCAGAAGCTCAAGCAGCATGCCTTCCCAATGCAATCTATGAGCTTGTCAGCAAGGGTTTCTAACAGCACCTGAAGAGGTCCTTTCCCGCACTTGCAGGCCTGGCGCTCCTGGTGCTGTGCGGATGCAGACACAAATGGTCATGTTCTTGTTTGGCCATATTTGTTCGCAGTCCGTATTTTTCCTTCATTTTCTCCCCTACCACTGCCTCTCTCCCAAAATTACGACTCCATGTTGCCCTCTGGCTCACCCTGTTACCTCCCTGCCTTCAATGGCCTTGGCCCCACTCGCTCCTCCAAAGAACACCAATACAATTTCCATAATCACCCTTACGAACATCACAACACCTCACTCGCTACACAGACATCTACCTCTGGATTGTTGACCGCTCCACTGGGCCCGGTCAGCCATAATGTCAATTATGGCTCCCATGATATGTATTCTCAAGCACCTGGAGAAGAGAACATTCAACCCACATTGTCCGAACCAACTGCGACCGACTGCTGTTGCCCCTCGTTCCAATCTGCGCAGTTCAGCACAAGCATCAACCTGGCAGGAATGCACAACACCCCCACCCACGCGCACTCCAACGTGAACACACCGATCAACTTACACTCGTACAGCGCTCTCACACACGTGGTCCTGCAGTCACCCTCAAATTGCTCCACACTCACCGCACATGGTCTGGAGATGCTGTTTCACAACATGCACATCTTGTATGACCCCCAGCACATTGGGAAGTTCCACAAGGTATGTGGTGTCCATGATGCGAAGAATCAACGCTCAGCCCACCTTGCAGCTCAATACGGACAACAAGCTGACAGTGATGTTTGCCATGTCGCTACAACTGAGCATGCAGGTCTCCGGGACTAAGACTGCTGTCGATGAAACAAAGGTAGCAGTGGACGAGCTCAAGCCCATCCTGGAAGCAGCCTGGTTACCATCCAATCAGCAGAAGGTATGTTTTCAGCTCTAATAGTCACCCAAAGCTCATCACCGAACATCTGGTTTTTCAGTATCTCTTCCGTGTACTCGTCAAGCACTACATGATAAAGCCCATAGTGAGCTATTACGATTAATGAGGTACAAATGAATCATTCTTTATGGGGTGGGCTCAGACTGCGACGCGCGACACACGGAAAATGCTAGTCTCTGGGATTTTTGTTACTTTTCAATAGCACAGCCACTTCCCACACATAGGTTTGCTACTTACTCCCATCACCCTAGCTCTGGGTTAGGGTCCCCCTGTAGGGTTCCACTAGCGCTGGGTTTGCACTGCCACCTGGGACCAGCGCTTCACTCCCTGATACACTTTGTAGTGCCTATTAGTGTCTATACCTATTCAACTAGACTGAGATGGGCGCTCTTTGGAGGCTTCAGTCAGAGTCTGTGTGGACTACTACTAGCAATACACTAAGGATTTATCGGAATTCATTCGAATTTTGAAGGGCTGCTTTCAGAAAAGTGAGGCTTCCACAAGTTATTAGACGCCCAGTGGCTGTAGCGCCCTGCCCCTGCCTACTACACCCACATCTGCCTACTAGTAAATCAGATCAATTCTCTAAAATGCTGATTATATCTGTGAACCTAGTCCTCATAGTGGTTGGTACGATTATGAAAGAGGCACTTATTTATACATAGTGGGTGGGGTGTAATGGGGTCTACGACATATGGCTCATATGTTGTAACTGCTGGTATAAGCTCAGATGTTGTCCGTTTGGGATGTTTGTGGAGTTTTTGGATACGTATTGACAAGCTTAACCTAACGGTGTATATCATGTGATACGGGAAGCAGATGCTGTGCAATAGGGTGAGTAACACTAGTAGAACACTGTATGGACGGTGTATGGCTACTTATAAGCTGGTTTCTAAACCAATCACTATATATGTAGGTGCATTAGAACACCTCTTTAAAGGGCTACACAAAGGTATATGTCATGTTATATATTGTGCATTGCAGCTGCTATACTGTAGCAACTACTACTTGGTAGTGCTGACTGGGTTATAGTGCTGTGCCTGAGAATATGCTTATGTAACATACACCATTCAAAAGCCACTTATGAGACGTACTTGGAACAGCTTGAGTCATAAGAAACAGACAAGAAACGAATGATAGGGAGGGTGTGCAATGTTCCTATATGCAGTTGCCTAATAAGGTGTGTGAGAAAACTGTTACATAAGCCACAGCAGCGCACTCTCATCACTGCTGCCATTCCTCCTCCTCTCTTGGGGGACTCTCATCCACCCTTCACCTCTGTAGCCTGGCTTTTGGCCAAAGTCAGTGCTTATGAGTGGGAGGATGCCCCCCTACAGTCCCTGTGCTCCTGTACCATGCCTACTCGGTGCACCAATTTAGAGCGGTGGTCTTGAGCCTGGGATGCCTGCGACATTGCCATTTCGGGTGGCCGGGTCATTGGAGCACAGACCGAGTTCTGTGTGAGATGGATCCAGCATTCTTTTCAACTCTCTGGTAAGCTTTAGGTGTCTGTGGGTGTTAGGTAGGTATGCTTTCATGTATTTGCTCATCTCCATGGTACTTTGACGTCACTGTGCCTCCCTTCCCATGCCTCATCACTCTCAGAACACTGCCAGATTGCTCCCAGGTGTGTGCTCTTTCTGTAGACCCCCCATTCATCCCCCACTTCGCATTTTTCATTCCCCTGTGCACCTACTGATGATGTGGGTTGGCACAGCGCTCATGGGCGTCTATTTCAGAGGCGCCCACGGCACTGCTACGTCCATAAGGCCTACGTGCCATCCATCCCCTTCCCATGGTTGGATCTGCTTCATTTTTGGTAGGTAGGCACTAGTAGCACTACACACACAATCTATGTACTTTGTTTCATCATCTTGTGTCATTTGAGCCCATAATAGCAGATTTATGGCCTGGGACCAGCTACCCAGCCCATCTGGGCGCTACTGTGCGCCTATTTTCGCTCTCAGCCACAGCCACCACTGCCAGCTACTGCAAGCCACACCCAGCCACCTAAAATTGTCATCCACAAGCCCCAGCTGCAATCCATCCTCTTTTGGTGGGGCTGTGCTGCCCAATCTTTGTCAGCTGCCTCTCCCATGCCTCTCCACCATATATGGACACTGTTTGGCACTATTTACTCTCTCCTGCCCCTGCCACAGCTGCTACAGTGGCTGAAAGTGCAGCTAGGTGCCTATTTTGAACGCTCTTTTCAAACTCAGCTCAGCTCAGCTGGTACAGCACCTAGCTATGCAGGCCTGGTTGTAACAATGGGTATTCAGGCTTTGTAAAATCCAATCAATTGCCTAAAACCCTGATTATATTCATGAAAGCAGCTACTATAGAGTATGTTACTAATGTGCTTACAGCTTGGCTTTAAACACATTAGATAAGGGACAGTGTAGATATAATCACTGATTCCTACCAACTTTAGATCACTCCTGTGACCTCAGTTCTTATCTGTTTGGGGTGATTGTATATGCATCAGAAAGCTATGCAGAAGGCTTATATGACTGAGACCTCTTTGTCTTCTCTAGTTCCCCCTTCAGGTGGTCTAGCAATGTAGAATGATAGTGTGTATTCTGCATCTATAAAATCAAATACAGCACATAAAATCTTGACTATTACGATTAATGAGGTACGAATGAATCGTTCTTTATGGGGTGGGCTCTGGCTGCGACGCGCGACACCCTTAACTCAACGCCGTGGGAATATATTCCAGACTCCGATTACTCTTGACTAGCACAGCCACTTCCCACGCATAGGTTTGCTACTTACTCCCATCACCCTAGCTCTGGGTTAGGGTCCCCCCATAGGGTTTCACTAGCGCTGGGTTTGCACTGCCACCTGGGCTCAGCGCTTCACTCTCTAATAGACTTTGCAGTGCCTATTAGTGTCTATACCTATTCAACTAGACTGAGATGGGCGCTCTTTGTGGGCTTCAGTCAGACTCTATGTGGACTACTACTGTCAATATAATCAAGATTTATAGACATTGATTCGATTTTTGAAGGGCTGATTTCAGAAAAGTGAGGCTTCCGCAAGTTATTTGACGCCCAGTGGCTGTAGTGCCCTGCCCCTGCCTACCACACCCACATCTGCCTACTAGTAAATCAGATCAATTCTCTAAAATGCTGATTATATTTGTGAACCTAGTCCTCATAGTGGTTGGTACGATTATGAAAGAGGTGCTCATTTATACATAGTGGGTGGGGTGCAGAAGGGTATACAACATACATCCCATATGTTGTAACTGATGGTATGAGCTCAGACAGTGCGCGTTTTAGGTGATTGTGAATGTGTTATACTCATCTATTATAATGGGGTATTCCATGTACACCCAGATGCCAAATCTCACTGTGTTCCTTCAAGTTGTTCCCATGCTGGAAATCTGACCGACTCTGCCCATACGTATATTGAAGTTGCTATATCTCAAGCAGTTCTTGGACGCATCTCACAAAACTTGGTGCGTCCTAATGTGTGTTTCAATACGCATCTAAAACACCCAAGTGCACTGTCTAATGTTCTGGTACACTTGTTTCGATTTCCCACCGACTTGGCCCGTGCGTTCATTGCAGTTGCTATATCTCAGGCAGTTCTTGAACGCATCTCTCCAACTTTGCTGCATTATAATGTGTGCTTCAATGCGCACCTATCGCACCCAAGTGCGCTGTCTAATATGCCAGTATGACTGTTTCGATTTCTGGCCGAGTTGACCGAATGAGATGTTATGTACGCTGTATCTCAGTCATTTCTCATCCGATTAAAGTGCATTGGATTTAGACGGCCTGGGAGTATATACTTGCTCATTTGCGTGTAGTTTTGTTGCCCTGTTAAAATTCTCGAAATCTGGGCCAAGTTGACTGAGTGACATGTTGTACATGCTCTATCTCTGTCAGTTTTGGGTCGTTTGATATGAAACAAAACATGTTCGACTTCTATTGTCTGGATGTACTCACATGCCAAATATCGTCTGATTTCGTGGTCTTCTTCCTGTCCTGCAAGCCAGCTAGAGAAGTGCGCTCTTATGGGCGCTTATGGGCGCTTAAACGGGCGTAGAGCTGCAGGACCTTATCTCTGCCCATCTCTCTGTCCTACCACCACCATCCAGCCTCTACATCTCCTCCTAGCTCTTCTCTGCACACCAATCTGCCCTCATTATGGCTCCTAAGCACTCTAGGCCCTCCTTGGACTACTTGGATCTGGATCAGCAGGAGAACATAGGAGGTGTCTTTGTGAGTATCTTGCACTCTCTCTCTCTCCATGCACTCACTCACTAGCTGCAGACTTCTGCTCCTCCCCAGGCTTCCAAGAGGGTTAGAGTGGAGGATTGGGTAGATGGGGATGATGAGGATGAGGATGAGGATGATGATAAAGACTATGTGAGTACTTGGCTTCTTTTCAGCACATTCCCCCTAAACAGCTATAGACTCCTGGCCCTGCTCAGCCTCCTGCTAAGCCTGCTGAGCCTGCTGAGCCTGTTAAGCCTGCTAGGCCTGCTAAGCCTGCCAGACCAGTGAGTACTACTTTTTGGGTGTGTTTCTTGCATCTCAAGCCCTTCAAGAAATTCCTGCCCCAGCACCAGGTCAATGAACTCCCATCTTCTGTCATAGACCCTGCCCACATCGTCTATGATGAAGTGGAGGTCTTGGAGTGGGCAGCCCGAGGTCGAGCTAAAGCCCACGAAGTCTTGGCCAACGCTCCTGTCTTCTAGCTTCCAAAGCCAATGAGGCTCTATCCTAGCTCTACCACCAAGAAGGAGAAGTTGGCTGACATGGATGCAGAGTGGGAGAAGATCAAGCCAAAGAAGTCTGTTGACTGCACCACCATCATTGAAGACTCGGAGGGGCAGCGGGTGCTCTACTATCTTGGTAGGCGCCCTGAGACTGTGAGTTTTCAATGTGCTACCCTATATGTTTCTCATCTATCTGGGCAGGACACACCTGGGGATACTCCTTGCCCTATTGAATCACTCTATGAAGGGCGCACGAAGAGGGATGTCGATATTCTGAGAAATAAGGGTGTCTCTATCCAGAACGATGCTCTCACTGTGAGCTGCTCTTGTCTATGTCTTCTGCTTGTCTGATTTTGTTCTAGTTTGATGAGCAGATGAGGTTGCTGGCAGTCTGTCAGTTTTACACCTCCCATGTTCAGCCTGTCCTTCCTGAAAAGGATCGTCGTCACGAGGGGGATCGAGAAGACATCAACACTCACCTTTTTCGATACCAACGAGGCAAACGGGAGAAGAAGAGCAATGAGAGATCCGGAGTGGGCCATCTCATTCATTGCTGGACCCAGCAAGGGGATTCTCACTTTGTGAGTGTGCCTCTGTGGTACTTTAGTTAGAGCTAACACTGTGCAGACAATGACTCCGAGCAGTGATATTGGAGTCAAGAATGATCTCAAGACACCCAAAAACCCCAAGTCTGATAGACTTGAGGTGACAAAGAAGTTCTAGACCCTCTCTGCTCCCTTTGCCGCGTACTTTGGTGCTCTGTTTAAGGTCTTCTATCCTGATCTCTATCAACGCTACCAGAAGGTGTTTGATGCAGGGAACTGGATCCCTCATGACCCTGGACCTTGGCTTGGACGTGCCCTTGTTTGGAAACTCCCTCTCGACCTCCACTTCGACCATGGTGACATTGGGCCTACTCTCACTATTCCCCTTGGTTTCTTCCATAATGGCGAGATGGAGTTCTCTGCCCTTGGGGCAGTGTTTCAGTTTGTGCATTTCTCTTGAGATTAGCAAACACTAATCTGAGTTGGGCAGGTACCGTGCTGGAGACATTATCCTTGGCTGGGACTGCAAATTTGCCCACAAGGTTCGGGACTGGAAAATTGCTAGGCATGCTCTAGGCCAAGATCTCAGCCCTGAGAATGGTCCCAATGTCCAGTGCCCTGAGTGGTTCTCTGGGGGCCGAGTTGCCTTGGTTTTCTTCTCTCATGCCATCACAGTGACTAGGCTGGAGAACAAGCCAGAGGGGTTTTTTGCCAAATACCCCAAGCACCATGAGCTGAAGACCCAGGATAAGCATGGGAATACTGTACTGGATCCTTGGGAGTTGTGTGAGTGTGGGTGGTCAGAGTGTGAGCGGGAGAATGAGGAGAAGTTGAAGTTGCAGCCTGTTTGGAGGGCTGAGGGGAGACTAGCCACCAGACTCAAGGGCAAGGGCAAAGGCAAGGGGAAAGAATGAGTTTTATTTGAAATGTATCCTATATACAGAGTAACTAAAACATTTGGAGGTATCCAGACTTGGGAAAAGAAAGGATCAATAGGGAACTTACTTCAACACATCTTGTATGTGTTAGGGCATGTGAGCGTGCTGTGGGGGGAGGGGATGGGCAGCACGGAGAAGGGAAGGGGCAGGGGGCTTACTGGGAGGACGACCGGCGCCGGGATGTGAATCCAAGGGCCCAGGGCGTCCATTGGGACGCCCTAGACGTGTTGAGGTTGTCGGGGACGCGGGAGGGCGGCAGGAGGGCGAAGTCGAGGGCGAGGAGGAGGAGGAGCGCGGACGGCCGTACGGCCGCCCGTTTTGAGCGTGGGGCGCGGGCGATGGCCGAGGTGGGATGAGGAACACGCCCCGCCACGTCTTGTACGCGGTTGGGGCGTGCAGGCGCACTATGGGAGGTGGGACGGGGCATCGCGCAGGAGGGACGGGGCAGCGGACTCACCGGGACGACGACGGGCGCCGGGGTGCAAATTGCAGAGCCCAGGGCGTCCATTGGGACGCCCTGGGCACGTTGAGGTGGTCGGGGAGGTGGTCGGACGGCTGGATGGGGAAGTCGAGGGCGAGCAGGAGGAGGAGGAGCAGGGTGGACGGCCGTACGGCCGCCCGTTTTGAGCGCGGGGTGTGGACGATGGCCGAGGAGGGACGAGGTACATGCCCTGCCGCGTCTTGTATGCGGTCGGGGCGTGCAGGCGCACTGTGGGAGGTGGGACGGGGCATCGCACAGGAGGGACGGGGCAGCGGGGCTCACCGGCAGACGACGGGCGCCGCGGTCTTGTATCGCGGCGCCAGGATACGAATCGAGGGGCCGAGGACGTCTATTGGGACGTCATTCGCGTGTTGAGGTAGTCGTGGAGGTGGTCGGACGGTGGGAGGGCGAGGTCGAGGGTGAGGAGGAGGTGACATAGAGCAGCCTCTGGGCCTCACAGCCTGTGTGGGAATGCTTACTAAGCCTGTGGCTCCTGCACACAAAATCGTCGCCGCCATCCCTCTCTTCTCTTGGGGGCTCTTGTCCTCTCTCCACTCTCTTCGCTGGCTTCCGGCCGGAGTCAGCGTTGAGTGAGAGGCTGCCCCCCACCCCCCAGTCCCTGTGCTCCTGTACCATGCCTACTCGGTGCACCGATTTAGAGCGGTGGTCTTGAGCCAGCGATGCCTGCGACATTGCCACTTTGGGTGGCCGGGTCGTTGGAGCACAGAGCTTGCTCTGTGTGAGATCTTTCTGTCCCTCTCTTCAAGATTTTGCTAGCCTCTGGCTAGCAGGTGAGTGCTCCCTCACCTCCTTGATTCTGTGCTCACTCCTCTTTTGTCCTCTAGCTGTTCTTGTTCTCGTTTCTCCCTGTTTTATCTCTTGTCTGTTTCTAGGTTCTGCCTTGGTTATGTGTTGGGTCTGGGAGGTCTGCTTCGGTCTATTGAGCTGGTGAGTCATCTATTCTCTCTCTGCATTGCTCCCTCCCATCTTCCATGTCTCTGACATGCCTTACTCCCATTTTAGGACCCTGATTGGCCTGGCTTGACTGGAGTCCTGTCTGTGAGATCTGCTTGGTTCTGCTGAGCTGGTGAGTACTTTATTCTTCATCTGCATTGCTCCCTCCCTTCCTCCATCTCTCTGACTTGGTTTTCTCCCTGTCTTAGCCCCCTGATGTCTGCTCTGACTGGGGTTCTGTCTCTGCCAGTTCTGCTTGGTTTTGGTGTCCTAGTATGTGCTCTATGCATTGCTCCCTCCCTTGCTCTGTCTCTGATATTCTTTTCTCCCCTCTCAGGTCCCTGTTATAGCTAACTTCACAGGTGTTCTGTGTTTGGGCTGTTATAACTAACTTCACAGGTGTTCTGTGTTTGGGAGTTGTTCTTGATTGTTGTGCTGAGGTCAGTCCTTGCGTCTCTCTTTGCTCTATCCCTCATTCAATTTCTCTAATACAACCCTTCTTCCAGGCTTGTTGCACCATCTTGTGTTATCTTTGTCGTGCAGGTTAGTTCATTTTGGCTTGGTCTCATTCATTCTGCGCACTATGGAGGCTGCTATGCCTCTTCCTCGCTCCTGAGTCGCGACAGGAGTGTGGGAAGGGGTTATGCAGCCTTCGCGCTCTTCTGAACTTTACTAACTTGACTCTTTCTCCCTTTTCACGTTCCCTTGGGGAACCTATGCTGGAGCGTACAGCTGGGCGTCTATATCGCCGTTAAGCTCGCTTGTTCGCTCTAGGTCGCTCTCAAGGGATTTGGAGGAGCGCTTGCTGTTGGGGCCCCTAGGGATTGGTTTCTTTTGTATCTGCTCTGTATCCATTGCTTTGCGCCCATCTCCTCCTCCAAGTGTGCTATTTGTGTGGCAAGCTTGGTATTCTGTCTCTAGTCTGAATCTAAGCAATGTAAGCTTATACATATGAGAGACAATAGGCGTATGGTGTGTAAGAGACCAAGTATGTGCTAGAAAACCTTATAGTAACACTACACTGAAGAGACAAGTACAGCTGATATAACACCATCGTCTGATACCTGTGGCTTGACTTTGCCGTAAAAAGAGAACCAGTCAGAGGACTTTCCTTAACGACATACACTGCAAGTCTTTCCAAGCACTGAAGAGAAGATCTGGTATACAGTGTTTGCGTTCTGCCAAGGGTCCAATAGCACTATAGCATCCTTCTCATGCAAGATAACACGAACCTCTGAAGACGTCTCCATCCTGCACCTAGTCTGGATAAGTGGAAGCTCAATAAGAAGCTTGCCCACCAGGTGTACCCGATTTTCCACTCTCTCCATGTAGTCCTTCATCGTCTCCTTCTCCCTGGCCTTCTCTGTCTCCTTGCGCCAATTCTCCATCTCCGACAACTCTAGCCTTCTGAGTCGCTCTTTCGTAACCGTGTGAATGGCGGCAAGCCTAACATAGTCCTCCCCCTCCAGCTTCAGAAGCTTCTTCGGCTGAAACTTCTGAGGGAAGTCTGCCTCCGTCTTCTCGATTGGACCCCAGTAGAGCTGACCGGGTGGCTGTAGGTAGAAGAGCTCACAGTTCCAACCAGGGGGAGTGACTCGGGAAGGGGTTCGGAATGGGAATTACGATTAATGAGGTACGAATGAATCGTTCTTTATGGGGTGGGCTCTGGCTGCGACGCGCGACACCCTTAGTGCGACCCGTGGGAATAAAATTTCAGACTCCTATTACTCTTCACTAGCACAGCCACTTCCCACGCATAGGTTTGCTACTTACTCCCATCACCCTAGCTCTGGGTTAGGGTCCCCCTGTAGGGTTCCACTAGCGCTGGGTTTGCACTGCCACCTGGGCTCAGCGCTTCACTCTCTAATAGACTTTGTAGTGCCTGTTAGTGTCTATACCTATTCAACTAGACTGAGATGGGCGCTCTTTGGGGCTTCAGTCAGACTCTATGTGGACTACTACTATGAATATACTCAAGATTTATTGGAATTGATTCGAATTTTGAAGGGCTGCTTTCAGAAAAGTGAGGCTTCCGCAAGTTATTAGACGCCCAGTGGCTGTATCGCCCTGCCTCTGCTCATTGCACCTATGCCTGCCTACTAGTAAATCAGATCAATTCCCTATAATGTTGGTTATATTCGTGAACCTAGTCCACATAGCAGCCAGTCTAGATGTCAACAAAGCGCTCATATCAATGCAGTGTTGGAAGCACTGCAAGGTCAATGACATATGGTCCATATGTTATAACTGTTGGTATGAGCTCAGATGATGTCCGTTTTGGATGGTCTTGAGTGCGTTCGATGCACATTGATGAGAGGGATCTAATAGTTTATGTCACGTGATTGTGGAAGCAAATGCGACGGAATGGTTTGAGTAACACTGCTGCAGCACTATATGTACTGTATATGGCTGATTATAGGCTTGTTTCTGAGCCAATCACTATACATGTAGGTGTATTAGAACACCTCTTTGAAGGGCTACAAGACAGTATATGTCATGTTATGACTTGTGTATTACATCAGCTATACTGTAGGAACTACTGCTTGGTAGTGCTGACTGTGTTATAGCGCTGTGCCTGGGAATATGCTTATGTAACATGCACCATTCAAACGCCACTTTGAATACGTACTTGGCATAGTTTAAATCATAAGAAACGGACATGAAATGAGCAATAGAGAGTGTAAGCAATGTTCCCAGATGCAGTTGCCTAATATGGTGTGTGAGAAAACTGTCACATAAGCGCCAGCAGCGCACTCTCATCGCTCCTGCCACTGCTCCTCCTCTCTTGGGGGACTCTCATCCACCCTTCACCTCTGTTGCCTGGCTTTTGGCCAAAGTCAGTGCTTATGAGTGGGAGGATGCCCCCCTACAGTCCCTGTGCTCCTGTACCATGCCTACTCGGTGCACCAATTTAGAGCGGTGGTCTTGAGCCTGGGATGCCTGCAACATTGCCATTTTGGGTGGCCGGGTCATTGGAGCACAGACCGAGTTCTGTGTGAGATGGATCCAGCATTCTTTTCAACTCTCTGGTAAGCTTTAGGTGTCTGTGGGTGTTAGGTAGGTATGCTTTCATGTATTTGCTCATCTCCATGGTACTTTGACGTCACTGTGCCTACCTTCCCATGCCCCCTGACCCTTAGAACACTGGCAGATTGCTCCCAGGTGTGTGCTCTTTCTGTAAACCCCCTATTCATCCCCTACTTCGCATTTTTGGCCCCTCTGTGCACATACTGATGGTGTGGGTTGGCACAGCGCTCATGGGCGTCTATTTCAGAGGCGCCCACGGCACTGCTACATCCATAAGGCTTGTGTGCCATCCATCCCCTTCCCATGGTTGGATCTGCTTCATTTTTGGTCAGTAGGCACTAGTAGCACTACACACATGGTCTGTGTACTTTGTTTCATCATCTTGTGTCATTTGAGCCCATAACAACATGTTTAGAGCCTGGGACCAGCCACCCAACGCATATCAGCGCTAATGGGCGCCTATTTTCGCTCTCAGCCACAGCCACCACTGCCAGCTACTGCAAGCCACACCCAGCCACCTAAAATTGTCATCCACAAGCCCTGGCTGCAATCCATCCTCTTTTGGTGGGGCTGTGCTACCCAATCTTTGTCAGCTGCCTCTCCCATGCCTCTCCACCATATATGGACACTGTTTGCCACTATTTGCCCCCTTCTGCCCCTGCCACAGCTGCCACAGTGGCTCAAAGTGCAGCTAGGTGCCTATTTTGAACGCTCTTTTCAAACTCAGCTCAGCTCAGCTGGTACAGCACCTGGGTGGGGGACCCAGGAGCCTTGGGTTCAATCCCTGGTAGTGCCGCTTTTTCTACATGTGGCTGTGCTACGCAGGCCTGGTTGTAACAATGGGTATTCAGGCTTTGTAAAATCCAATCAATTGCCTAAAACCCTGATTATATTCATGAAAGCAGCTACTATAGAGTATGTTACTAATGTGCTTACAGCTTGGCTTTAAACACATTAGATAAGGGACAGTGTAGATATAATCACTGGTGCCTACTACCTTTAGAGAGCTCATGTGACCTCAGTTCTTATCTGTTTGGGGTGATTGTATATGCATCAGAAAGCTATGTAGAAGGCCTATATGACTGCAACCCCTTTGTTGACCCTAGTCCCCCCTTCAAGTGTTCTTGCAATGTAGAATGATAGTGCATACTCTGTCTATGCAAAATCAAATACAGCACCTAAAATCTTGACGATATCCAGAAGGGCAGCTATAACACAGTGTGTTGTACTATATTGGATTTTATCTGCATAGTAAGCACTTTAGTACTAGCTTTCACAATGTATACACTTCTGCTATATATTATGTTTTTGTTTGCCTATGATGATAATGGTGGTGTTTAATATAGCTTATTAAGGTCTCTCATATCTTCTCATTATATCCCATATCTCATTAATCATTTTCTGCCAGTAATGGCCCACTCCTACCAAGTGGAAATCTGGGAAGGCAGAGATGGATGCAGAAGGTGTAGGTGGAGTGGAAGCAATAGAGGACTTGAGAGAGGCTGGTCTCAAAGCGATGGGGATCGGCATTGGGATGAGGGCAGAATTCAGGGTATTCGCATGACAGGTGTTCGAACGGGACTTTGCCTAGTTTCTCCACATCGCTGAGGAACTTTGACCATCTCTTGGTGGTAGGATTCCCCTTGTTCTCGAACTTGTGCCATTTGTCCCTTCTGGGATTCCGAACAGCTGATCCACCGATCGACGGTCGAAGCTGGGGACAGGCGGCTTCTACGGAGCTATAAAAGTGGTGGTACCGCTCCCAAAGGGCGATCAGGATGTTCCGATCCAGGTATAGCATGCCTCGGTCATCGGTTTTGATGCCGCCAATCCAATGGAGAACGGATGGTGTGAGCTTGCTCAGGCCGTAGGAGGTCAAGGAGTCCCAACGAACGTCCGATACAGAGAGTTGGCACTGGCGATGACTGCTAAGGATCTGGCCAGAAGAGGTTGTGTGTGGAAAGAGTCCAGTCTCCATGATGTGTGCAGTGGATGAATAGGATGTGGTTGGAATGATGGCTGCAGTGATAGCTTCTCGATGGTCTCTCGATATTCAGATTTAAAGATCACGTGTTCTCATTCAAGTCGATATTCAGATTCAAGAATCACGTGTTCACATTCACATTCATGCACCGAGAAAAGAAGCTCAATTCACTAGAAGAAGCACATGCCAGCTCTACATCTTCTACCCAGCCATAGGCACATCTGTCTGAGATACAACTGCGCTGTCCTGCAAGTCACTATCGTCCAAGCGCATACACTTCAACACAGAGTCTGTGTCATCTTCCTCGCTGTCGCCGTAGCCGACCTTGCGCTTCAAAGGACGTCTGGGAGACTTGGCATGCTTTGTCAAAGCTGCAATTGAAGCTAGATTGAAGTCCTATAATCAAATCAGCAAGCACGCTCCAAGTGAGAATCAGCATATAGCACTCACCTTCTCGACAGTACGGTCTAGAACAAAGACGTACTCCTGTCGGGGAAGGCGAACCACTGTGAAAGCGATCTGCAGCTCGACTAGGTTTGAGATGTTGATCTGGTGAGGCTTGATCTTTGTGTATGTTGCCCTAAACAACGTCAGCTATGGTTGGCTTCATAGCAATCTGGCACGTACTTGGACTCCTTCATTGTACGCTCCCAGTACTGAACTGCATTGTCGGTAGTGTGAACATGATCACGCAAAGCTGGTCGGAGAACATTGAAGGGGTCCACGACATCTGCCAAGTCCACAATCTCATCATCTCCAACCTCCTTTCCCCTACTCAGAAGACGGTTACCGAACTGGATAGCCAGGTGGCCTGAGCGATCAAAAGGGGTCCACTCTCGAAGTCGTCCATGAAGAGTCTCGATAAGGCGCTGATAGACTTGGTAGACGCAGACCGCACCCTGCACCGCGTCTTGGAACAGGTCCTCACCTAGGCCAGAGATAACGACTGACTGGCTAAGACCAATGATCCGATGATTGGACCGAGGAACACTGGAAGCAGACAGGTGAACTCAGGTACGCATCACAATACACAAAACTCACTCCATCTTCCGAATAGGAGGGAGATTGGCCTCTACGAGATATCCTTGGATCGACAGGATAAGCTCCTCGATAGGCTCTTCAGGAGACGCTCGTTGATGGATGAGCGTCATCCGCACTCCGTTCGCCACGTCCACCACCTCTCCAATCGCATTGAGAATGCTGGGCTACCATGCACGGTATGAGATTTGTTCTAGGGCTGCACAATCCAAAACTCACCTCTTTGATGCTCTGAAGCTGCTTGTACGGAGCCTCTGCCTCTACTAGGCTCGACATCTCCTGCTTAAGCATTCTCGCTGCACCACACAGAAGCGCATTAGATCAAGTCAGAACCAAACACTCTCTACTCACCATATTTGGCCTCATCTAAAGCCAGCTGAGCAGCGTAAAGCATAGGGGATAGCAAAGAGGAGGTGAAGTAGATGTTTGCGATAGTTGGTTGAAGGTGAGGAGCCCTTCATCCCCTTTTCGTCTAATCTCTGTGTCTTCTCAACACGTGAACAGGAATTTCCAACTGTTTGTTTGTGCATGGTCTAGATTCTTTGGAACGTGCTCTGGCGGTGCGTCATTATTGATCGGGATAAGCTCATCCGAAGAGCGGGACAACATCGGACTTTGCTTATTTTCAATGCCCCATCCGTGTCTTCCCTCCCTTCTTCTGCATGTTGGGTGTCATTCAAAAGCTACTTCTTTCTGCTACATGTCACTGAACTGTATAGGGTCACTGTTGTATGGGACTATGCAACAGTGAGCCAAGTGCTGGCAGACTCGCTTGAGTATAGCCGACGGTCTAAATAGCCGTATAGGCGGATTCAGGAACTGCTGAGAAATTCAGAGTGGGCTGGTGGGACGATGTGCACGGACCAAGGGACAAATAAACAGCATCACAGTGCTGTATATAAACCTAGGCAGACGCGCTGTCGTCTACACACTCTCTCTCTCTTTCTTGCTCTCATTCTTGCTTCCTCTAATCACTCCCAATCACACTCCTTTCCGATACCCGCTCCTTTATACACTCACTATGGCCAAGACTCGCGCCTCTGCCACGTATGTGATTCCTTTCATTTGCGTATGCCAGGCTGATACGTTTATTATAGGTCTAAAAAAACAGTAACCCCAACCAAGCGTGGTCGAGCTGCCTCCTCCCCCGTACCATCCACGCGCGATGAGTCCCCTTCCCCTTCCCCTGATCATGGGGGTGAGGAGAAGGAGACCTTGACGATATATGTGTCTACCATATGTGTTCCATATTCTTTATACTCACTCACGGTTGCAGCACCATCAAGAAGCCTCGAGAAGGTCGTCCTCGGAAGCCCCAGGCCTCTGGTGATGAGGCTGAGCGGCAGCCTGCTCCGTCTGGTAGACAGACTGCCAAAAGCACTGGTCGCGGTGGAAGGCGTAGCACTGGATCTCGTAAGGCCTCAGCTACGACCAAGCGCAACCCTTCTCTCTCCCCTACTCCCACTCGTTCTCAGGCTCACCAGAATTCTACACCTTTGGCTGGGGATGAGAAAGAGGTTCAACGGTGCGCACATTCACTTCTCAGACTACTATCGTTACTAACTTTGTTTCAGGATCACCAAAAGCTTCATTTCAAACGAGGCTGATGACGTTCATTGCCACTCTGAGACTTCAGAGGATGAAGGTTCCGATCAGGACAAGTACTGCGAGATCGACACCTCGTGAGTCTTATTTACTTGGCTTACACTGCTTGCTTACTTCAAGTTCAGGTTGAAGGTGAAGGAGCTGCAGGCTGCTAGGGCTCGTCGAGAATCCCAGCAGGCTGAGAAGATGGCTGGCATCTCCTCTGACGATGGCGATTACCATGTGTGTGTTCCTGACAATCAGAAGACGCCTAGGAAGTAAGTAATTTGTTTAAGTTGTGCTACCAGTGCTCACACTCAGCTATAGAAAGCCTTCTATGGGAAAGCTGAACGTCTCTCCAAAGTCTCCATCTCCGTAAGTCTATTCCTTTATACGCTCAACCACTGGCTTACCTTTGTTATAGGCAAAAGCCTAGACACCCCTCAGCTTCCAAGCCTGTGGTCGAGATGTGAGCAATGTGCCTTTATATTCATGCATTCTTACTCATATGTACTAGCACTATGACACCCCGTGGGCGTCAGCAGCGTCGCACCAAGTCAGAGTCAAACATCACTCAGTAAGTTCAGTATATTGTGACATCATATGTATACTTACATATTCTCCCAGCTTGACGCCAACGAAGCGTGGCAAGGCAGCCCAACTCAGGCCCCAGGCTGAGGACTCAGACGATGACATCATGTCTGAATTTGAGTTGGAGGCAGCTGGGGGGGCTGAAGACGCTATGGATATTGATGACGAGGACTCTAACCCAGATGCTCTTTACGTGCTCAGTCCTGACCACACCACCAAGTACGTATTCAGTTTGTTAGTGAACACAATTGCTCATGCTTTCTAGTGGCACACCGAGCAAGAAGCTTGCAAGCAAGATGTCCTCGATCAAGATGAAAGACAGGACTCCTTCGACTAGGTACAATTCTCAAATTTGTGTTTGATATCGTGCTTATTATGCCCTCTAGCTCGACTCCAACCAAGAAGAGAAACGTCAAGGTGCAAGCTGACAGCTTGGTTGACACTGCCTCTCATGCTAGTGGTAGTCTTGTATCTGCTTTCAAGGCGGCAGGCAAGCGTTCCAAGTCTTCTGAAGATGAAGGCAGTGATGACGCTCTCAAGTACGCATCTTCTCCCTGTTCTTTGGTACACACTTCTGACATATTTCTATATTCCAGAATGTCTCCCACAAAAAAGGCCCGCTTCTCGTAAGCTTCTCATTTATAGTGCTCAGATCTCTGCTAACATCTGTGTAGAATCAAGTACAAGTCTGCGTCAACCCAGACCACCGACCTGTCGGAAGTGAAAGTTGAACGCCTGTGAGTTACTCTATCTAGCTTACTCCCTAGTGGTGCTCTCACTGACATTGCACTGCTTATCAGGGTGTTGCCTAAGCCTCTCAACATGCAGAAGCTCAAGGACAAGGCCTCAAAGTGAGTCATTTTTAGTTGCAGTAACTTCTACTCACACTTCTTACAGATCGGTACCGCACGAGCTTTGGGGTGTTCAGCAGTCAATCGACAGGAGCCCCACGATCGCCAACATTCGCCATGGGCTGCCTGACTTTGAGAATGAGTGAGTCATGTTTTTTTAATTCTAATTAGGACTCTCTTTGCTGACTTTTCTGTTGTAGCGGCAAGACGTACATGGTGAACTACATTCACCCACTGCATGTGAGCCCCACTAGTAGGCTTCTGACCTCGAAGCACTACCCCACGGTGCATCCAACGTATGTATAATTCAATCAAATCCTGCAGATTTATACTCATCAGGTGTTCACTAGGATCTTTTACAAGACGTTGGCCAACACTGGCGACGGCATGAAGGTCTTCAATATTGGATGCGCAGACCCTAAGTTCTTCAAGAAGGTCTCCAAGTTCAAGGCTAACTCATACTATCTGTGTTTCGACAACCTGGCTCTTGGCAACAACATAGCTATTGGCTATGCTGTTGGCATGGTGATCAGAGCGCACACGGAGAACAACGGGGAGTTCCAGTTCAGTGCCACGTCGTTATACGGCAAAGGTATTCACCTTGAGCTGCTCGGCAAGGCTGATAATGCTCGACTGGGTCCTTTTGTCCTTCGTGCCATGGACTACCAGGAAGCAACGATCGCCACTGGTGAAACTGCGCTCTTGAAGAATGATGAGCTTGTTAGCCAGGGTTGCTTCTGGGCACACTCTGCGTTGCACAACCCTGAACGTGCAAGTACCATGACACCTCGGCCTAAAAGTGAGTTGCTTGCTCTATTTGCTCTGCGATACTGAGTCGGTGCTTTTGTCACAGGGTCAATCTCTGGTCCTGTCCGTGAGTGCATATTTTTGTCTGCACTGATGCAGTGACTAATTTAGAGTGCAGCGAAGAGCATCCACCTCAGCTCAGATGAGGACGACGAGGAAGTGGGTTCCTCTAGTCGCTCTGTGCGGCAGTCTGATCCCATCAAGGATCTGAGTGACAGGGTGAAGTCGTATCACTCACCCGATGCCACCTGTAAGTTCTCCATTACACACATTGAAGCGCTTCAAGTGCTTACTCTGTGCTTTCAGACCCAGTTTGGGACGCCACTGCGCACTTCCAGAAGGAAGACAGAGTCGAGAGCTATCTCCTCAACCAGCCTCAGTTGCTCCCTCGCTGCCTTCCTGGTGAGGGTGGTGAACCACTCCAGCCTCACGATCTGGCTGTCGTCTACTTCACCTGCAACTCTTACTCTAGTAAGAGTGGCAGTGACGACAAGCCTTCAATTGGCTTCAACCTCTGCGGTGCAGTGAAGATCGCCTCTCATGTGTTGGTCGAGGAGAGCACCTAGTGCGCTGGTTGTCTTTTGCAGATCGTCATCTCCCTGTGCATGTATGTCGTGCTACACTTATACCCACTACCACTATGCATCTCTCGCTCTCTCCTACCTTGGTTCTCTGGTATCTTGTGGACATCTCTATGTACATATCATGAACCATACTCTCCTGCACTGCCCTCCGCTCGCTGATATCTGGACTCTTTTACAATCATCTAATTCTTTCTTTACTTACACACTAATGCTTTGTACTACCACCACGCTCATTACGACCAACTCGATATACACTCTTGCAATCTGATTCATAATTTGTTGCTGAACTTCTGGGTGTGATAATCAAGTGCGCTTCACCGAGTCTTGCTTTCGACTAAGATAAGAACTTGGTGCCTTCCACATGGTCACATGACCATGGGAGTTTGATGGTGGTTGAAGTTGAACTTCGGCTAGGCAGCCTCTGGGTGCCTCTCACTTCTGAACTCAAACCACGATGTTCTCCTACTCTGCACTCAAACCCGCCTTACTATTCAGCCTTTTATGGCTGATTCAGTGTGCTTGGCACACCTCTGCACAAGTCAACTCTGCCTCTCTCTCCCAGATCCATTCCAATCTATGTTGTAAGTGCACTTCTATCCTCTGTTATGGCACAACCTTACTGATACATCTATAGATGATCACTCTCTATATAGCTTAGACTACACTGAGCCGGTTACTCTGGGCACCTTGATTGAAAGCCCCAGGTCCCTTGTGGATGAGGTTTGGACGAGCACCTCTGTTTTAAGCTCTGTCTGTCTGTGCCTTCAGCCAAACATCGAGGTTATCTACCCCTCTCCTGTCTGGCATTATTCTGGGTCTATGTATGGCTATATGCAGCCTAGTGTATCACTATACTTGACCTGGAACTCTCCACGGTCTCAAGTGAGGCTTATTAGACTTTTGTTTATGCGGACTTGCATGCTTAAGCATGACTTCTGGGCTGCTATCAAGAGCAAATATTACTCTATTCAGAGAGCAGTTGAAACATCTTCTAAGCCTATTAGCACTCTGAGATTGTCACAATTTGGTGGTGCTGTTATTCCCTCTAAGAATACCAGAGGGAAGTGGTGGACAGCAAGTGAACTCCGAAGGTATCCAGTTCAAGGTGAAATAGCAATGAATATGAACTACCGCTATCATAAATGTGTGTTTTCCAGTGAGATAGTGAAGACTGAGTGTGCCATATTAGTAAAACCATTATCACACTTAAGTTTTCTCCCAATGTTAAGCAAACCAAAACCTATTTGATGAGTCTTTTAATAGCACACACTTGTGAATCATGCTCTGAATCCATAGCTTCCTTCGTTCCAACTGAGCCAGTGCAGACCAATAGTAAAAAACAGAAGACTAAGCGTGCTAAAGCCCTTCTACCTTTGAATGAACCTCTAGTTTCAAAGTCTGTAAAGCACCAGTTTCCACCTAGTCCACCTGATACTCAGCTGTTAGGTGAGATCATCACTGGATTTGCCTCAGACATTCAGCTTAGAAACTTCCAAGAGGGTGCTTGTGCAGTCTGTGGCTTATTGACGTATAAGTCAGCACTTCAACCACTCAGCAAGCTTACATGTGATCTCAATATTCTTATTCCAGAAATGCCAGTTACATGGGTAGAATGCACTTCCCTTTCTGATCCTATCTGTGATGTCCCAGGAAAGGTGCTCCTGCCAAGCAGTGATGATGTCTGCAAATCTTGCGCATCCAATCTACTCTCTGGAAAGCTACCAGATACTCTCAAAGACTTGAGCTGGACAGAAAAACTCTTGATTGCCCGAGTGAAGCATCACATGTGTATAGTAAAAGTTCAGATTTCAGGAATGTCTAAGATGAAAGCAAATGTGGTCAGCCACTCTCTCCCTATGCCTACAATATATTCTGTGTTGCCTCCACCTAGAAACAAGCTTGATGAAGTGCTTGCATTTATGTTTCTGGGTCCTAATGTGCCCACAGCAAAGGAATACAAACGCACACCTATGCTTGTGAGGCAAAAGAAAGTCAGTGCTGCACTCGAGTGGCTTAAGCTCAACCATTCTGACTATGCAGATCTGACCATTTCGTACAAAAATCTGGCAGAGTATCCAAAGATGAGCCTCCGGTGATTGTGAACTATACTCAGACCAAGAGTATGTCTAATATTGATCCAGAGGCAGCTGCAGTCACTGGAATAGAAGAAGAAGAGGGTGTAGATGATGGAAAGTGTCCATTTGTAGTGCATGGATTGACTGGTGAACGTCTTGAACATCTAGAGAAGATCAGACCATATGAAATCAAGGCAAGAGCTGTAGAACACTTCAAATCTGGTGGAAAGGTGCTTGGAATTGGTCAGGAAAAAAATCCAGAAAGCATCTATAACAATCCTCAGCTCTACCCACAAATGTTTCCGTGGCTCTTCCCATATGGCTATGGTGGGCTAAAAAATGTGAAAGGCACTATCAATGTGTCTGAAGAGAAGCGGAAGCAGCAGTTGCTGATGTACCATGATAAACGCTTCCAACTTGAGCCATTGTTTCCCTTGGTTGCTTTGAACCATGAGCAAATCAAGCAGTCTACCAGTGCAGGCTATCTTCTTGCTGATAAGAAGCGTTTTGATGAGATTGCACACAGACTGCTGAATATCAGCACAGAAACTGTGACTGAGCTTGCTAATAGGCTGTCTAAGGGAAGTTTTAAACCAGAGACTGAGGAGGAAAAGGCTTGCTTCCGGCTCCTAAGTGATTTGGACCATGTGAACTACAAGGTGAAAGGATCTATTACTAGTAAAAAGTATATGCGCAATGAGATCTGGGCAATGGTGTCTTATCTGGGTGCTCCCTCCTGGTCCATCACATTTGCTCCCACTGATGTCAAACACCCTCTGGCACTGTATTTTGCAGACACTGATCAGAAATATATGCCAGAGTTCAGACCAAGGGATCAGCGTCTCAATCTGATTGCAAACAACCCAGTTGCAGGTGCCCGTTTCTTCAATGTCATGGTTGACCTGTTCCTGAAACACGTTCTTGGAGTGGGCACTAGTAAACCCGGTTTATATGGAGACACAGCTGGGTACTACGGAACTGTTGAACAGCAGGGCCGTTTGACTCTGCACTTGCATATGCTGCTGTGGATTAAATGTGCACTCACTCCACAAGAGATTAGAGATCGCATTTTGGACCCCACCTCAGACTTTCAGCAGGCTATGGTGCAGTATCTAGAGGGCTGCTACAAGGGCGAGTTTTTGAATGGTACTATGGAGACTGTAGACAAGCGTGTGACAGAGATTGCCCAGGCAAATCCTAATCGAGTGCCACTCACAGAGACACTACCAGAAGTTCCACCTCCCAGTTGCTCAGAGAAACATGAAACAGACTCAAAATGCACCACATGCAAGGCTCAAAAAGATTGGTGGTCAAATATGAGGCAGAGGTGGATGAAATATTATATTTCTCCAATGTGCACAAATGTAGAGACAGAATCACTGGGAAAAAGAAAGCAAACAAGAACCAGCTATCAGAAAATGAGCCACCTAAGCCAGCTTCAACTGAGAAGTCAGAGTTTGATAACCGAGGCTGTCGTGACCCAGTAACCAAGGTGTGCAAGGCCCGCTTCCCTCGAGAGACACATGAGGCTACTGGAGTTGATCCCGAGTCTGGTGCACTAGTCATGAAAAAGAGTGAGCCCATGTTGAACACATTTACACCTGCTCTATCATATGTTTTAAGGTGCAACCATGATGTTACCAGCTTGCTCTCAGGCACTGCCATCAAGTCTGTGATTGCATATGTGGCTGATTATATCACAAAAACACCTCTTAAAACGCATGTGATGTTCTGCTCTGTTGAAGAGGTGTTCTCACGTAATACCGAGCTTCTAGGCAGCCAGAAAACCAATCGAGAAAAGGCCCGTGGAATGATCACTAAGATTGTGAATGCACTCACTGCTGCTTCAGAAATTGGGGGACCTATGGCTGCAATGTATTTGTTGAAGCATCCAGACCACTATACAAACCACAAGTTCAGAATATGCTACTGGAGGGGATATGTTTTTGAGGTGATGAAGGCCTGGGAAGACTCTGATGCTATTGACCGTGAGGGAAAGTCAAAAGTGATGCTAGGCATGAAGAAATCTGCCTTGAAGTCAGAAATTGTAGCAGTTTCTCCTGTGTTGGACTATGTTTGGCGACCTGAAGAGTATGAGTCTGTGTGCCTGTACGACTGGATTAGGCTGTCAGATAAGAAGCGTCTTCCACGGCCTAAGAAGAAACACAACCAGGTTGAGGATGACATAGACCCTAGCCAGTACTTTACTGACAATGATCGTGAGTTTGAGGATGATTATAATGTAGACCCAGGATTAGAAGAAGAAGAATCAGAGTCAGACAGTGAGGAAGAGAAGCCAGCTCAGATTGGAGGCCACACAGCTATAGCAAAAGAGGAGGAAGAGTCTGGATCTGAAGATGAGCTAGCAGGGCCAAGCAAAAAAGAGGAGGAGGAGGAGGAGGAGGAGTCTGATGATGAGCTGCTGCTCACCACTAAATCAAATATGAAACTAGAGAAGGAAATCCAGGCTACTATCCCACAAAAGCACTTCAAGTTCCATGCAAACCACCCACACCATTCTACCCATCATGCTAGACTGATGTCTGAAAATGAAGCCTTTGTTCCCAACTTTGTAGGTGGGTCTCTTCCCCGAAAAGATTCTGGTAGCTGTGAGCAGTATTGCATGACCATGCTTACTTTGTTTAAGCCATGGCGAACTGGAAAGGACCTCCGCCCATCTATTACTACTCTGTGGGATCAATCATTTGAGGCGCACAAGTTCACTGAACGGGATCAACGGACTATGAAGTATTTTCACATCAGGTACGAATGCAATGATGCTCGGGATGACTTTTCTGCTCAGCGGAAGATGCTAGAGAAGAGTGCTAAGCTCTCAGGAATGTACAGCCCAGCAGACTTGGATGAGATGGACACTAGATACTATATTGACATGGATAACCTGCCAAT